ATTTAAAGGACAGATCAATAAAAAAATATAATCCATCTATTGAATGATGTTATATCTATTTTACAAACCAAGGCGTTATCTTACCGATATTAATATATATATTATATTTACATTATTTATTAAACCTTACACTATATACACTTCATACAAAAAAAGAAATATTTAACTTTATCCTTTTATTCTTCTTCAACGGATATAACTAAGATCAACTATCCCAGGTTTTATAAAGTCAATAAACTCTTTAACTGAAAAGAATATTATAAATAGTTTAAAAGGTGACTTTGAATATAATTGTTCTTGGTAGAGTTTACAAACTTGTTTCAGTAGGATGTTAAACCCAATTTCACATTATTTATCGAAGATGTTACATTTTCGGGCAATTTTGTTCGTAATAATATGGCAACATTGATAACAAACATTTATTAATATTGCACATATAAGCTCTTTGTAAATGCACCTGTGACTTTCCAAATATCATAAACTGGTTATTTACTTCCGTCGTTCACAGTAACGATTAGCACTTAGTTGTGTTTTTTTTATGATAATCAACACATAATCAGTAGATCCTATTGTGAACAAATTATCAAAGACTAGAACATACCACTTTTTATTAGTAACTTGTTTATGGAATAGCGCATGCAAAGATGTAGCATTATGTTGCAGGAATATCATAATGCAACCAAAGCTTTCATTTATGGCAATGCCCTTAGGACTTCGCATTACGCCAATTACCCTTTAACTGTTCATGTAACGTGCTTTTTATGTACATGATTCAAAAGCACGATTCATGAGATTAATTTTAAAAACAAGAAGGAGTTATGAAGGAGTAAAACTCGTTCATTTTTAAAAATAGTTCCACTATGTTTCTTACATATCGTTAAAGCTATTTGCAGTATTAAGACTTCATATTCACTTTCATAAATTATGAAATCAATGGCGGACACGGGTTTCCGCCCCTGTATAAAACTGACAAAATATATAGTATGAATAATGCTACTGAAACGTTGATATTTGAAATAGTATTTTGGATTTTTACCACCATTAAATTCTTGACTTGCGCTAGTTACGTATGCCTTACTGGCCAGGATGAAAGTCCGAGAGTTTTAATATGGTCTCGATCCAATAAGCCAAAATTTAAACTGGCATTAGCATACAAACCGACCTTCAGCCAATCTTTCAAAAAAAAACTTTATCGTGTAGACTATAGAGCTTCACCCCAACACTAATGGAAATAACATTTCAAACCAGTCCAATTCAATTTTAAATTTTGACACAAATCAAAGAAGCATAGCTTCTCTAAAGACACAGTAGTCTCATGCAAAGGCGTGGATCAGTAGAATTTGGTGGAGAGAATTTGAAATGGCTCCCAACAGTTCACGTGCGCGCTGTATCATAAAGTCTGTCATTGAGTCAACTGGCGAGGTTACGATTCCCCGGTTGTACGTGACAAGGAGTAGGGTCGCCTGTCCAACCTCGTGAGTTTTCTCCGGGTCCTCTGGTTTCCTCCCATTGCTAAAGACTCCTACGCGCATGCGAATTATGGAAATAAAATTGAACCATATGTTAGTCCCGAAATGACCTAGTTTGTATCGAGTGGACGTTAAGCCCCATTTCTCTCTCTCTCTCTCTTTGAACTGTTAGCTTGTCTATACGGAATAAGCTGTAGCCGAAGAAGCCTTATTTTTACTGGATGCATATAACACATGCATACAAGATCCACCACTCGAGTTATTATGCTTACTCATTAATCCCTTCGTGTTCACTGCCATATGAACCACGAATCTCTTAGACACCATCTTCGAATTGTGAAGTTACATTTAAAATCCGCCAATCGATGCACAATGGTCCCAAGAACAAGTCTACCAAGTTCCATGTCGATCGTACTCGATTTGGTGAAGTCTTAGTTGTTTAAGAAATAAAATGTTATTGGGGTTTTACGTCCTACTGTTCTGTTCTGGGCTAATGAAGACGGGCATACGCGGCGCTACCGCCTACTCTTATATCGACGCTACCGCCTACTCTTATATCGAATTCAAACTAGACAACTGCCATTGTCAGGCCCACCGTCATGCACCACTGACAAGGGGACACCACACTTAAAAATCCTCATGAACTTTCTCGGCCAACACCGGTATCGAATCCGCGACCTCCAGGCTAGCGAACCAGCGTCTTACACATTTAGCCACCGTGGCTCCTGAACACCAAGAATAAGAATACCAAGTGTATGGATATGGATGTGAACTCAATAGAGACCAGTATAAATAGATTGAATTGATCAAATTATTTTTAAATTAAAGAACAATTGATTTGGTTTCGTCTTAAAGGAGCTAAATCGCTAATATTTGGGACCTATATAAACTGATTACATTCAGTCGTTTCTGTTTTTAATTTAATTTCAAATCAGCTATATTCGGCGAAATACGTCAGGCAATCTATAGCGTCTGGTTATTCCAGTTTACAACGATAGTATTTATTGCACATAATATGGGGTCACCGTTTGACTTGACTTGTGGAATATGTCTAGCCTCGTTCTTCGAGTCCTTTGTTACAAATGGCGCTGAAACGCATTATGGTACACGATTCGTGTACCAATGGTAAAATGTTTTTTTGTGTCCTAAATATTGGATATCAAAAGCCCATTTTTCCCGGTGAGATCACAACATCAATGTTGATTTAAATTGACAAATAATTCGTTTTTTTTTTTAATGTCGAAGACATTGGAGTTAGAGACTTTTAACATCTATTCTGGTATGTTAGAGCTTAAAAATCGTGTATTACCAAACAATAAAATATATTATGATGTAGCATTTTCTATATACGCCGAATAGCATTAAAGAATAAGTTATGCTTTAACACCGTGTTGATTAAATTTTAGTCTCAAATTACGTTATAAAACGTCATACAAACTTCGAGGTAAAACAGTGACATGTGAAAGAACTATCGTGCATCTTTATGCCATCAAATCTGAAATTATTCCAGGGAATATTGTTTACGATATATTACAGCGAGAGTCACGATCCTAAATGTACAAAGCAATCGATTGCAAAATATACATGTATTCAAATTATCAGAAAACATTTTTTTTTACCAGAATCATTATACCTTACGAAATAAAACAAGCTCAGTTTATAATCCACAAATGTTAACCTAAACTGGCAAAACAGTGAATGCGCTTACGTTATCGTTAGCTGGCTAGGTGCGAGTAATGGGCGTGTTGAGATAGCAACGGCTGGCATAATAGTTGACGCTCTGCTATGATTGAATTGTCTATTCGATGAGGGGATTATTGTGCAAAGTAAGTTTATAAATGTTTTCCCTGATTAATACAAAGATGCTTTCAGATGAAAGTTGTGTGAGTCGACGAAATGATTCTTGTAAGAACATTATCTTGTTGGTGACTTTAGTTTCCATTCTAAACAAAATGACTAAAACTATGATCATCTGCAGTTCTTTCGAACATTTTGCGTTAACTAAACTAATAAAATGTCGGTACAAATATGAACATAAAGCTGGACGGCTCGCCATAAATAAGATACAATTGAATAATAACACAATGTGATAGAAACGTAGGTATATATATGAGTGATGCTAAATAAATACTGTATAACCTTATACTCATTTTGTAATTTATATTTATTAATTTCCAAAACTTCCATTAAAGAATCCTCCTGTTTATGTGGTTTCTTTAAAAACAAATTATGAAAAAGCAATTATCCATATTTAGAGAAAAAAAACATCTTTGCACTACATTACTGAAATATACATAAGCACTACTCACTAACATTACTAGGAAAGTACACATTTTTAAATTTGGGTATTATAAGAAAATTATTAACAGATACTTATATATAAAACATGTTAAAATGGAGATGATATAGTTGTATTATTTAGAGCTATGCAATCGGACATTTAATACCGAAATTTTGAAATATGTAGTTTTTAGCTCTAAATAACACCAATCATATCATGGCGCTAGGCAATCGCACATTTAATATCGAAATCAATCTTGAAATGTGTCGTTCTTAGCTCTAAATGACAGCAAACATATCATGGACCATTTAATAGTAAAATAATCCATAGGTTTGGTGGAGAAAACGGTTAGATTATATAAATGGTTTAAAAGCAAGTGCAATGTGGGCAGTGCAAAAATTGACATTTAATCTTATGTAAGTTCATACTTGGAGGTAATATTTCATTGATGTTAAAGTTTAGACATTTGCCTTACAAGGAAATACGTGTTATAGATAATTGAAATTTCATTAACACAGAGGTTTCGAAATGCAAGTTCACTGTTTCTAATGTTTCGGTTTAAAAAATTATTTTAGTTTACGACAAACCTTTTCTAGAAACACGACTAAATAATCTTTAGAAACAAAAGAAACGGAACAGAAAGGGGGTTAGAGATAGACACAAATCGATAAAATAAAATAAAAAGAGTGTTGACAACAACGTTTTACATTTTCTAACAAATGTCATCTATGTTCTGGTAGCTTGTATTGTTATCTATAAATTGATTTTGTTTGATAGTTAGGTGCAATTATAATATCTTAACCTTACACGTAATTCCCTTGATTAACCCAGTTGCTATTTCTGCCTTTGATGGTTTCATTTAATAGTATGACACACATCACGGCATTGTCATTCTTAATCACAAAATGTAGCGGGCGGAAATCAACCAGGAATAGTGGCCCTTTTCAACAATTCGCCATTTTAATTTCATCTAATTCGCTCCAAGTCGTTTCCACTTATCGGTAAAATCAAATCACCATAGATTTCGTTCCACTATTAGCCACGCGATCAGCAAATCCAACTTTTACACACAGCCGTAGAGAATTTGGTTAGAGGGGGCGGAGCTAACGCCGTAGGTGTCAATCAAACGTATTGGGTTGTGGTTTAGCTGGTTGGCGTGACGTATCTGGCAGGTGCTTGTACATATTGGCTGCAAGAAGACAGCGGAGAGTGGGTGGAGTTTATTGTGTAAATAGCAAGATGAAAGATGATTGAAATGTTTACCCATGTTAGCTGCTAAATGGCTAATACGGTTGTAAGAGGCATGAATAGCTGAATGATAACTTGTGCCACACTGACACAGCAGACAGTTGATGCTGTGACGCGCGAAAAGACCGTGCTTGATATTTTTAACAACTTTAAACATTTATCCACTCGTTTTATGAATGTGTGAACCATTGCTTGACTGTTTTGTGTGACTCTTACTTCGTTACGGATTGTCAGGGTATCATGTCGTATAATCTTACATTTCCAGCAAATAATTCGCAGTTGACGTCACAACAGGTAAGCCAAGCTATTCATTTTAATTTAACTTAATTTATTTTATTTCTTTTCTTTTCTTTTGATATATTGTGGCATCTCTAGTGTATTAACCCCGACCTCATGTGTATCTTATAATCCCACTTTTCGCTTCGGGTAATTGGAAAACTTCTCTGGATTGTTGAAAAGTCTTTGATATATTATAGCATCTTATATACGTATTTCTTATCTGCACTATGGTATATGTCACCTACATTTCTATTGCAATTTAGATCTACTTATATATACATTTATCATAATTAAACTTAAAAATATATTGGATCAACACACCTTGCATCGTTTTGGTATTTACATTTTTGTACGTAACACCTTTATATATTGCACTTCTGTTTAACACCCGAAATAAATCAACCCCCGATACTTGTGTAAATATTTTGGATGTTCGAGAAATAACTGTAACATTCCTTAACAAGTAGCAAAGCAACTTGAGCTCTCTATTCAGTCGGTCTAACTCCGCTTAAAACATCAAGACATAAATATGTTGAAATAATTCGACAAATTCTTAACATTTTGTGTTCTTTGCTACTTAAACTCCGCTGAGAAGTTTAGAATAGATTAAGTGATAAATTTATCATGCTAGCAAAAATAACATAACCGTACAATATGTATTATAATATTGTGGTTGATTAATGCGTAAAGATTATTACATGGGAAATACACATTGCAATTTTATATATATTTTTAAGTGACACTTATTTAACCATAAACACAAATTATATATCTCTATGTGATTTGAATTTGATCTTCAGATAAAACATCCAATCTATCCATGACGTATGTTATCCTTACTTAAGAATTTGATATTATGAAATGAAATGAAATCTATCATTGACATAAGCGGCAGTAATATCTTAACTCATTCCAATCAAGTCAGCTACAATAAATCAAACCAAACATGGACGCTTATCATTCAATAACACGTTTTGAAATTCATTGAATATTTGTATCACGCAAATATACGTTTTGTACATATAGCACAAAAAGTTCAAGGTGTTTGGTGTATACAGAGAGAATACGATACATGTATAAATTGTTGTATTATTTTATGAACTTGACACTCTAAGTCAAATATATGTATATTTTATGATATGTAACTTTTATTTGTATTATTAACTATACAAGACGTCATATTTGTCAATAATATGTACATTATGGATATACACGAAGTCACACTGTAAATGAACAATAAGATTAATGTTAAGATACACAATATATTTTGCCTTCAATTCACATGTCAATATCACAAATATCGAAATGAAAAGTTGTCATATATGTAAATATATCTCGATATATTCACAATTTTTCTGTTTTTATTTAAAAGTTATGATATCAATAATCGATTAATCAAGATTTGGTGTCACCTGTCAAAGTTGTTGAACATATTATTTACTCGTGTTCTGTGTAACATTATGTGTTTTACATTGTGTAAAATTGATTTATTCACAGTGCCTATATCACTGTGTGTTAGTAATGGTATGATGGTTTAGTGAACGGAAATAAACATTCAAATTGGTTATATTTTGATTGATAACAGGCAAACGAAGTTATTTTCTAATTCTGGCGCTATGTTTCTGATTATTAGATATTAGCAGATATATCCATCGATTCGCTGATATAAAATGGCCTTTATATCGATGCGTTAATTAATACATTTACCTTTAAAATTATACATTTCTATTATGCAAATATATTAAAATTAAATACTATATTATTTCCTTTCTTATCAAATCGATAAACCGTACATAAGTTTTAAAATCACATCTACTTCGATACTTTTAGAACAAAGATACACTATCAATTTTTAATAAAATATCAATATACAGCTTATTTATAACGGTATTCGAGATAAAAGATGGAATCTCCCCAGAAGATATACAATAAAGAACAAGATTAAACATAAATGTTTCATGTCTCTACACCATATGGTTTCAATCGTCTCAACAATCCTAGATATTACAGATACCCTCACTGTATACCGTTATTCATACAATATACTTATTTATTAGCCTAAACAGAAATTAAAAATTCACATATGCATCCTCAAAAATCTGAACCCTTTTACTGTGCATTCGGGAATTTGAATGCTATATGAAGGTGGTTTTTGGTGTTTTCCTTCCCAAATTGTCTGTGTGCACATATTTTACAGATACTTCAGCATAAGTACATGTATAAATATTGAAATTTGCAATAAAACAAAATAGTATCTAAAGTAGTACTAAGAAGAAATCCATAATAGATACTCATATAAGCATTACGAAACTATTTTTAAAGAACTTAATATCTTTACAGGAAAATGAAATCAGATGTTTAAAGAACGTAATATCTTTACAGACAAATGAAATCAGAAATGAATAACCCTAATGAAAACCAGACAGTATAGGAAATATTATTATTATTAAATAATTACTTACATACATTATAAAATATATATCTCATTATATACATCTCCTATAATTGACATGCTATTGTATACTTAAGTAATACTTATATTAACCCAAGTACAGTTTTAATTTAGATATCCTTAAACAATCTGAAACCTATCCATTCTTTAAATCCAAATTTTATTTTCTATTTCGAGAACTATTTATTTCTTATGTCCTGTTATTTGCAAAGTTACGAAATATTAAATCATTAAATCATTAACTAAAAATTAAAATGTTTTATTATTTAAATTTTAAATGTTTGTAAACAGCAGTAAAAGGGGATAATCATTAAGAAACCATTACTCGACACACGCTATATGTTTAAAACTTATCTGACCTCTCCAGTTTTAAAACAAGCACCGATTCAACTCATTCGAAACTGTTTTAGTTTTTCTCACAGAAGATTTGAAGGACATTTAGATGACACTTGATATGTAGTGTAACTTGTCTTCTGTTTATTTTTATTAAAGCTATATATCTATTTTAAAATATCGCAAATTTAAATCTTAAATCAGTTACATTTATGTACGTTTTTTTAATGTAAACATTTCAAAATAGATATCATTGCATATTAAGAGTAAGTTGAGAAAATAAATATTTTGTTTTTGAAAGTTGATATTTCGTTTGATTCCACATTTTCATTTTCTTAAACATAAGCAAAGCAAAAAAGATGATTTGAAATCTTTAAATCTAACTTAAATAAATAAACCAAAACAAATCAACACAAACAATGTATACATAAAATAAAAAAAAAATACTGTCCAAATATAGAATTGTTTTTATAGCATTTTATAAGTATTAAAATATTTAATATAATTTTAAATCAATAATCAATTTATTCCATTTGCAGGTGACCAGTCCAACTTCAGCCCCTCCACCCAGAGCATGCTGTGAAAATGGGCGTCCGGTAATGACCGATCCTACCACTGGACAAACCATTTGTTCCTGTCAATATGGATCAGCTTTACTCAATTATCCGAGACTATCTGGACTCACATCCAGCCTGTTTGGTTCCTCTGCTTACGGCACAGCAACAAGCCAAGGCTACGTAGGTTTGGGAGCCGAAGGGTCCGCCTTCTATGCACCTTTGGTAAGTATGAAAATTTGAAAATACATCTAAATTAGCATTTTAGAAAATGTTTCACATACCACACTTTACGAAATTAACACTTAAATTTAAGAGAATTACACTTTATTAAAACCAATAAGAAAGCTGGTGGAAGTGTCAAACACAAAAATTAAACGGAATTAAACCCGATAACCCCAAAATAAATATATCAGCTAGTTAAACAGAAACTCATATTTAAAATTGAGCTTATCACGAAACGTTTGACAAAGATAGAAATTATTTTCTAGTTTCAAATGCAAATAAATGAAGCAAGTGGCAAAAGTCAAGTGCATGAAAAAGGCTGTAGATATGAGAAAATTACATTAAGTTGCAGGGAACTGAGGTACCACGAGTTTGAATTAATATATTATTGATAAGAACTGAAATAATATGATAGTAAACCATGGCTGCCATATTAATTATACTACATCGCGGTCCCAATTATAGCAGCTATCTCCTCTGGTAGTCCCAAAACTTGATGGCAATAAAGAAGTCAAAGATAGGTAAAGTTTGTAGATAGCTTGTTTTAAAAAATGAGATTAAATTCCTCGGGAAGTTTTACACTGACTAACATACAATAAAAATATCTTGTGTTAAGAAGACATGATTTCAATTCAGTAGTTATACCGCACGCTAAGGTAACAAATCTACTTATTGTGTACCAAGATGTACTAAAATAAGCCTTCTCTAAATTTATACTCAGCTCACGAATCCCAATAAAGCTTTTTTATTTAAATTGTACATAGATACCCTAAATAATTTTATGTTATTCAGACGATTAGATTTATTTCTGTACTAGATATACTATCGCAAAGAACAGTTCTTGACAATCGATAATTAGCTCGCCATTGGCCAAATATTAAAATATATTTTAGGAAAGACAGATATTTGGGATACAATGTGTTTCTAAACATTGGCTATGATATGCTTAATCTCTCTAGAACACTTGATACGACTCTGGTGAGTTCACATAAATAGCGAATTTGTTTGTACTTTCGTTTTCGAAACAAAAGTGTAAGTGTACTGTCTTTCTTCAGTATGATATCTTTAACCTAGACGGTTAATTGAATTCAGAAATCGCAAAAAATGAGATAAAAACTATTTTTAAATCGATAAAAACATTCAATGAAACAGACTCAACAAATAAGATTACTATTCCAAATTGTTGGCTTCAAACCGAAATCGCTGCAAGCAATTCGTTTGTACTGAGAGAATCAGCGTTAAGCACGCAAACGTTAGCTTAAAATGAGATGTAATCTAAAAATGTAGGATGTGTAACTTTGATACAAAACATGTATTTACAAATAACTTAGATTGATTTACTTGCCAACCTGTTATAAATCCAATTCGTCAAATTGATTCAGATAGATTCTTTAAAAGCCGTTTTCCAATAAAAGCAGGAAAATTACAAATGTGTCAATCTTGAACTTGTGGTTTACAATGTGGAAAGATTTTTCATTCATTGTTGAACAATGTAGCTGTGTACAGGTACTGCACTGTACTTAATTCAGAGTGTAAATATTACACGATACAGTGTCAGTGCATGGTATAGAAATACGCAATCCTGTGTACTGTATCGAATGTAGTATTTAAATATATCAACCCAAAATTTCGAATTAAAAGACTTGATCTAAGGTTATAAGGGTCGCCAGAAATCGGGAAGAAAAACATTTGGGGGTCCGATTAATTTTAGATAGACTCTAAATCACGTCGCGAGACTTGCCTATAATCAGCAGGATGTTTACAGCCTGAAGGTCTCGACAACTTTTACATCTATCTCGTCTACCAGGGATGCTCATTTGCATATTCATAACAATAATCGATCCGCACTGTTGGATAGAACAACAAAACTTTATGGTTATTTTACTCGCGACGAATAAAGCTCCATATTACAGGGTCACCGGAGGTCTGCGCGGGACTTATGCCTGAGGTCTTTAGAAATAAATGAAAATATTGTGATAATGTTGTTGATTAGGCGGGTGGGTGAGAACGAGAAAGAAAACCCTTCCTGGTTTGGTTGTTTATCAGAAGGCTTAATCTAACAATCTGTGTTCTTGAGCCAGTTCAACTCGACCGCCTGGTGTTCGTCTTATTTACAACACTCGGAAAGTGACGGTATTATTCTCACCTCACACGTCGAAGACCCATCCAGCACCAGTAACTCTGTACGCTGCTTGCGAACTCGGCTCTGTTTCTCATTGCGTTTTAATTCCACTTTTGACCACAGAAATTCTAAAACCAGCAAACCAAGGCCTCTTGTTACCGTGTTTAAATTTTCCTTCGATTTTCTAGTCACAACTGTCGGATTAGATGGCATTAAAATCTTGCTAAAAGATTCGTGTTATATTTGGGCAACCAATCGAAAGTGACTAAAACAATATTGACACAGATATAAAACCGGGTGTAATGTTATCTTTTTATTTCAATTGAGCGAAGTAAAACACACAAACACGCACTTGTCAAAGTTTTCATCCCAACACCAACATAGCTTAAATAACCCAAACAAAACCCACAAACTGTCGTTTTTATTTGATTTAGCCGTAATTCGTGTAATTTTAGTCTTTGTTAATTTTGTAAAACAGTGAAAACAAGCTCACAAAAACACAAGAAACGAAATACAAAACTTTGAATGAATGGGAACTGTAGCTAGGGATGTGAAAAGAAAAAAGAAGGTCAATAAAAGCAATTCGTAAAAAAGTTCGATTCAAAATTTTTCCAAATCTTTGGGAAGAGGTACGCCAAGGCATTTAATTAAGTATATTTATTCATATCAAAGAATCGAGCTCCTGTTTTCTATGGAGAAAATTATTTCAAATATATTCCGTGATCAATATTGGCATTCAGCGCTGTTTGTTTTCAAACTTAATAACATGCCAACAAATAAATAAGGATAAAAATTAATCTGAACATGAATTTATTGACGTGTAAATCAATATACATATAGTATATACAATGTAAGTATTTTTATATATACATGTAAGTATAAATCAATGTATTTTGTATTGTAGACGGGAAGTACTGGAGGACAAAGTCAGGAAGCGTGGAGATCTCTGACACAGCCAGCTTTTTCTTATGATCCTTCAATGGGTTTATATCCTTACGGACCTGGGTAAGCTCCCTTTCTCACACTATTCAATTTGTTTACTTAAAACGTCTGATTTTCGCAATGAGGTTAGGTATGGTTGTTTGTTTTTTGTTTTGTTTTTTTTGGTTGGGGGTCTGAGGCGGTGTGGGTGGGGGGTATTCGATTAGCTAAGAGAATATATTTCCATTTTTAGGTTACAAACAATTATCATTTTATATTTATTATTTGCATTGATGTCTATCATTCTATTTTGAAAAAGAATTTCATAAACCCAATGTCATTGAAATAAATTCCTTGGCATTTTTCTTTTATTTTCGATATTTTGTTTCAAAAAATACCCTGTCGGATCTTGAACTTTGAAAATTTAAAAGGTTCTTTTATGTTGTACTCTGTTACTCATTCAGCAGTTAATGTTTATCCGTGTTCGGAGTGGTAAATCCTGTTTTTAAGTCCGTGTTATTCCGGAGATATACAGGGTATTCCGAGTTAAACGATGAATTATTTTCTTGTTTACATTGTTCACGAGGTGTTGTTATTTTCCAATTTCCTGATTTTAAACCCAGTTTGTTATTTATTCGATAATTGTTAGCGTTGTGAAGAGCACGTTTGTAACATTTAACTGAAGAGATTGTTCGACATGTTGTCGAAATGTTTCGGTTTAATAACCCGGCGACCTTTCATCGTACCTATTATCTTAAATCTTTATCGACATTGATAAAAACAAACTTTCTTTTTCCTGTCTCATATCATATTTCAAAGTCACTTCTTTTTCAATAACCTTTTATTTCTTCAGTCAAAAACACCCCCATTAACGGACGGAAATACAAGAAACCGTTTACAGAACAAAAGAAATATTCCGATGCCTTTTATGGATTTATGATAAGGAAATAACTTTACAATTATTAAATAATATTTAAATTCAATTTTTAATTATGTTAATTTCGAATTATTTTAGATATGGCGGATTAGATCTGAATGCCAGAAGAAAGAACGCTACAAGAGAAAGCACTACCACCCTGAAGGCATGGTTAAATGAACACATTAAAAATCCTTACCCAACAAAAGGGGAGAAAATAATGTTAGCCATCATCACAAAAATGACTTTAACCCAGGTAATTATTCATTTTGAATTATGTTAAGGCATCTAATACAATAAGGACAATTATATAAACACTTTATAAAACTACATATATACATATTTATCAAAGTATCCAATAGATCTCTACTGTCATTTTAAGGAATCTAATATATTAAAGGTGTCTAAATTATATAAACACTTTATACAAATACACATATAAATGTATTTAATATGTCTCTATAGCTATTTTAAGGAATCTAAATGTTAAGGATGTCTAAAAAAACACACTCATGTATATTAAAGTATTTAATAGACTACATTGCCTTTTTTTTTTAGGAAACTAATATATTAAGGATATAAAAACAATGATATAAACACTTTATAAAGATACATTTGTGTATTAAAATATTCGATAGACTTCTCTATTATTATTGTACCTTTATTTAAAGGTTTCAACGTGGTTTGCTAATGCCAGGCGTCGACTGAAAAAAGAAAATAGAATGACATGGTCACCACGAAATCGAGGCGAAGACGATGATTCTGATGATGAAAAAGAAAACGAGGCTGATGAGAAATTGAAAGAAAAAACAGAAAAGAAATTAAATGGTAATTCTTTTATCTAATTCAATCATGAAATCTAAATTATTTATTTCCTATCAAATTTGTTAACATTCAATATTCAATCGTATTCCAGCGTGTTTTTCTTCCTTTATTCGCGTTAATATCAGTTACATCTATCTTGATAAGTTAATTTACAAATCAAAGCATCCAGAAAACTACTGCCCAATCTCGCGGGATTAAACGATAATCATTTCATTATATCACAACGAGACTATTTACTCTTTAAACCGATGTTCTTTTTGTTGATGGGTTAAGGTTTGACTCGGGGGCATTTAATAGGCTAGGGTATTATTACCGTTCAAAAAGCATCATTATCCGAGGCATCAATTCGAAATAAAGTGCAGATTAGCTGTTTAGAATTACAATCATTCTTTATCGCATTATATGCCTGGGGGTATTGGCGCGTGCAATTCAATCGGGGAAGTTCCGGTTGGGTGATTGTGGGTAGTATTTTATGACGCTGTGAAGTGATTGACAGTAATGGGGTATTGATGGTTTCGGTGTGGTAGATAGGTTAACTTATGTAACCTTCTCGTCTCGAGGGGTTGTAATGGTGTATGGCAAAGTTATTGAAGTCTATGCTGTATACCAATGGGGATTTAAACTAATTAAAATATGACTTGTACATCATTCCTGTCTAATAGATTTCACATATTGCATTGATAAACCGTAACATGCCAACCCTGTCTACTGAATTTAATCATTAGACTAGTAGAGTGAATTAGAAATAGAAACTTATGTCATATTTTTGTGAATATTTCTTTTACGATTTGCTTAAAATTCAATTATTTTTTCAGGCTTAGACGGTAAAGATGAGGAAATTGATGTCGAATCTGAACACAATGACCACAAACCCAAAAAGAAGGTGGCAGATAACCTGTTTTCAGATGATTGTGTTTCTCCTGTTCCCAGTGTCGGTGAAGATTCTAGAAGCAGATTATCCCCCCCTGCATCACGTGATTCTGATTCTAGTTATAGTGAAGGGTTAAATCCCTCAGACTGTGAAAATGATCAGCAAAAACCAAAAATTTGGTCAGTGAGTGACTTCTTACACACGTCCCCACAAAAATTGGGGAAACCCGATTCTTTGCTAATAGACAACCATAGTGTACCTAAAATAGGTAGTGGGATGACGTCATCATTTACACCGGTATCTTCATCTGCGGGACTTAACGGTTTGTTTACGTCATATCCGTCATCGATGGCTTACTCATCCCACTCGTATCCCTATTCACTCTCTACCTCTGGCGTAAGCAAATTGATGTCAAGATCACCAGTTTCACGATTCAACCCCTACTCCACAACGAGGCCAGGACCTCCGAATGGATTCAATGCTCCTAGAGATTTTAACATACTGCGTGAAGGAGAGTAGAAACAGTAATTAATTATTATAGTGCTAATTGGTTAATTAATTAATTAATATTAATGACAGAGTTGAATGTTAGGAAGGAAATCCATTGTCTTTATTTGTATCGTTTGTGTATATGTATAATTATTTTATAAATAAATTGTTGAAATTTGTGTCTGCTTACTTTCTCAATTTGAAAAAAAAAACGTTTGAAATAAAATGTCTGGATTCTGTGCAGATAGACTACTTTAATAAACAATATGTAATTTGTAAGAAAGCAGGCAGTATTTTCTGGTATGTCTCGACCAGGCAGTCGCATTGAATCCTCACTACCAAGACCTAGTTCACATCTTTGATATACAGCCCACCATTCAGGCATAAAATGGACAAAAGAAATATCTTCACCATACTATTCAATGATATATTCACATATCTCGTCGTAATAATAAATTCAAAATACCTATACATTTGGGTAAACTAGTGCCTTGTAAAAAAAGCCAACCATTTTGAGAACATTACTACAATATCCAAGCTAATATTGTTTATACACAATGAATACAACCACGTACAACCTGTAAAGCCAATCAATATAGAATATAAACAGCTGTTATCAAGTTTATTTTATAAAATGTCCCAACAAACAATATTCTTGTTTGATTTACAACATTCAACACGTCAGTTGAACTATTGTAGAAAATTGTGATTTGATATATTTAAAGACAGCACCATTTTCTCTAATGTCTTAAACTGTCCATAGTATAATTTATTACTAAATATAATATTATCACTGATAGAAATATTACAGTTATTGAAAATCCATAAAATTCGTAGGACATCATAGGATTTTTGAAAAAGGTCTGCCCAAAATTGTAATGAAGAATGTTCTTACCGACTAATTAGAAAACTGGGTCCTGTTTCTCGAAATCTTAACTTAAGATAAAAATCCAAATTTTAGTAGATACTAAGCACTAAAATCAAACTAATATTATCCAATCAAATTAATAAAGATTGGATTTTATCTTAGTTAAAATTTCCTGAAACAGACGCCAGAGTACCTACAAGTTACATATTTGTTCCTTTAATAATAGTGTGGAGACGTTACTACGAATGAAAATGGTCCATGAACTGTCTACGACTTGACCAAAGGCTTAAATAATCTGAAAGAATAAACGAATATCTTTTATTTATTTCGTCTTTAATTCATTTACATTAAAGTGCAGAGATAAATATAAATATATATAACAAAATCCTGCTTTTTTGCAGGTTAAATATCATTCACTTTCAAACACAATCCCATTTTAAGAGTTTTCCTTTCTGGGTTATCGACCAAGACAAAAACCCTCCTAGATGATAAAAAAACACCCACTCTGTTGAATCCATCTTTCGTCAATAACACAAATTGATGTTAGCTCAAAACTGCATACTCATTCCCAAATATCTCTGCCTGTTTCTAACATCAATCAGTTCTGTACCCGGATTTCAGAAATCGATGCCCATGTGAAATTGCAACTAAGGTTTCAAGGGATGAGCAGCTAATATCGTGGGATCATGTTTACTTATTAGCATTAAGATCACGTTTAGCTGTACTGTTGCTCTTTATGTTTTATCAATATGATGAATCTAGATGTCATCGTTAGTGCTTCTACTTTACTCACTATTACTTGTACTTATTGAACTCGTTTGTCGTTAAGAGTTCTCTGTGCATGGCTGATGGTACATTATGTCGTCTGGGTATCACAGTTTATGGAATGGTCTTATATCGACGTATGACGAAACGAAATATGAGTTAAGATTTCATAGATCGTTTAATTCTGACAAAAATAAATGTACTTTGGTATAGATTCAAACGTTAGTTTTATTAAATATATTTTGAACTATTAATGTTTAACCGTAAAAATGTCTTGATTTTAGTTATCATTTCGGAATAAATTACACCAACTTCAGAGCTCAATGGCAGAGAAAATACATTAATAACAATATTGAAAAAATATAGCTAGTTTAATATTAATGCAAAAACATAAGTACACGATAATAAAAGGTACAAATCATGATAAACTATACGTGTTAGAATAAGGCCAAAATCAATCAATATGTGGAGATATTAATAATCTTCTACTTGACCATGGATTAATAATAATAATAAAAATAACCCCATCTTATTTCATGGCAAAAATAGAAATTAAAATAACAGGAATAAGAATAATATTTTTTTAAATTTTTAATAAACAACCACCCATACCCTAACCCAAAAAAATCACCCCGCCACACATAGGTGTATTCATCAACTGTTTCGACTGGCGTGTTTCTTTTTCAAGTCAACTATAATCTAAATATACACGTGTATATAAGAAGTCATTCACTGGAAAAGAAGCTTAAGATGATTTTTATCAACAAACTTTTAATATTTGTCGGACATACATAAAGACCAATACTACAATATCAAAACAAATTCTATGCTTAATAATAATTCTCGCTCCAACAATTCACGACAAAATAAAGCCTTGTAAAGAAACCGATACTTCGTTTCGCAAAAATAAATCCGGTTAAAGGAACCGATGTTTCGTTTCGGTGAATAAACCGACTGATACATTTTTTAATTTCGCTCTTACTTGTAGATGACCAGAGAGAGTACGAAATCGGATCAAAGACTTCCGCAACCAGATGCGTTACTTATATCAATAAAATAATCCGACCACAAAACCCAACCGATATACAACCCCCTTCTCATATTAGTTAATCGCCTCTTAATTGACTAATATCGGAGACTTTATCAGTTTTAAGTCGACCGGCCTGTGTTCCGAATCGGTTGACTATACAAGCAAATAATAAGGGATTTATCTTTTCGCTATAATACATCAAACATAACGCTCAAACCCATAATCCTTTCATTCTTACACATAGGCAAACAAAAACCACAAAGTCAAGCGATAGCGAACATTTTAATAAATATCCACCGGCATATATTGACTTCTTTTGTTTATTTTCGTTCCGTCATCCTTGGTTCACCCATTTCTGACTTTTTAGTAGGTTTTCACGCCATGTTAAATCTTTAAAACTAAACTTGGGTGAGCGAGTGAGTATTACGAGCCGGTTTGCACCTATTCAAGTACGCAGGTGGGTAGACCGACTATAGTGAAAGTATAAATGCTTTTTGAAACATTTGGGTTGTTTCTCTGCTCGCTAATCATCTTTTGTTGCACTGTCTTATTACACACGGTGGGGTGGCGCAGAATAGTAGTGAATGTCACAGGGCAGGGTGTTCGTGACCCCCGGGGCATGAGAGGGCAGATTGGGTGGAAATCACACGTGCTCAAGTAGGTGTGCTATTGTTGAAAAAAGGTTAAAGTTGGCGTGTTTGAAGAATGCAGTGTATGACTTGTTTTTTGTTCAGTGCAGTTTTGAAGCAAATTTGTAGGAATTGAAACACACTGATTACATAGAAATAAACTAAGTAAAACACGAAGTAGTTTTTTTAACGGAGTTCAATCATTAAAGAGATATCGTGGACTAACAGTCTTATATTAAATAATTACTCTTTCTATATTTGCATGTTTTCATAAGAACAAATTAGAGCAGAAATGAAAAGCGCCCCATAAATAAAGTATTTGATTAATTTATTTACACCTTGCGGTATTGAGTAATATTTTTGGATCGCCACCTTTGTTGATAATACAGCATTCCTAATCTATAGAAACTTGAACGATAAGGAAATAACTACTTCTTTAAAAACTCCAAATTCATTATTACAATTTCTATCAGATACAAATTTTTAAAATTATTTTATACAAATTAGTATTAAATAAATATATTTTTTTTAAGACTGAAATATAACAACTTTAGTAATATGTTAGAAATCTTGTAAAAAAAAAAACAAACCCAAAAATCTTACAATATGTATATTAGACTTTACCTTGTTCCCACGGTGTGTAAAAGATATACATTTTTGTATTTTTTAGTTTTACTTGACAAGATAAACCACACCTCATCCATCACATCTTCATATTCTCTACCGTATTTTGTAGTTTTTCTAAATTGTTTTGTTAAATATGGATTACTCGGAAATGATTCACCACCCCTAACAAATGAATATATATGGCATATATATCATGTATTTATTCAGTTTGGATGACTAATGACGATGGTAGAATCAAAATCGGTTTTCTCTGTTCTTATTTTATTAATATACCAGTGTTTTAATGTACCAGTGAGAGAGAGAGACAGAGACAGAGACAGAGAGAGACAGAGAGGGGGGAGAGGGAGCGGGGGTAAACGTCCACTCGACACAAACAAGGTCATTTCGGGGCTAACATATATGGTTGATTTTTATTTCAGTAATTCGCTTGCGCGTAGGGGTCTTTAGCAGAGAGAGAGAGAGAGAGGGGGGGGGGAGTAAATGTCCACTCGACACACACTAGGCCACCCCCACCCCGCCTACTTGAATAAAACTATTACTCTAATTTTCTTGCATTATTTTTATAAAATAAACTTTTATATGGCTGATTATGTATTTGTTTGGTTTCTGGACGTACAGGGACATGGATACTTTATATACACAGAATTTTTTATAATGTCTCTTTGAAATGTCCAGCATAGCTATTGGAACTTAAAATGAAGATGAAATGTGACAAAGGGCGTTTTAGATAAAGCAGAAGCAGAACCAACGCTTGAAGCATCATAATATCCCCTACCACAATACAAAACAATAAAAATATGCATTTAGCATGTATGATGGAAACAGCCAGCATATGCTGTCCCGTATACGACAACAGGAAAGCTAATTTTAGATACCTAAACTGCAGTATAGACGGCGACTGTGATAAAATATCTGCGAATACAAATGCTAATGTTCATGCAGTTTGGCACTTTTACTATCAAAAGCATAAACATGAGAAAGGCATATTGACGTATTCTCGTAGACGAAGACTAGCTGACTTCCACTTAAAAAGTAACGACCAGTAGCACGCTTCGTCAAGCGTCCGGGTTAAATTTATGTGAAAATCTTTTTTTTTCTTTCTGCACCTAACCTATCCCTATTTTGATTCCCAAACTCCATCAACATGCCAGATATATCATCTCAACGACAGTATAGGCGATAAAATGATTTAAATGACCCATTAGATAAATGGTGACGAGCGGACAAAGACCAAACCCAGGTGTTAAGAGAATGTAATTC